ACGTAAAAACATGAATGCGTAAAGATACATGCACCCCTGTGTTCATTGCAGCATTATTCACAATAGCCAAGACTTGGAAGCAACCTAAGTGTCCATCAATGGATGAATGGATAAAGAAGATGTGGTATATATACACAATGGAATACTACTCAGCCATAAGAAATGATAAAATCCAGCCATTTGTGACAACATGGATGGACACTGAGGGTATCATGCTAAGCGAAATAAGTCAGAGGGAGAAGGTCAAATACCATATGATCTCACTCATTAAGTAGTAGATAACAACAACAACAAACAAACACATAGAGACAGAGATTGGATTGATGGTTACCAGAGGGGAAGTGGGGAGGGAGGAGGGTAAAAGGGATAATTAGGCACATGTGTGTGGCGATGGATGGTAATTAGTGTTTGGGTGGTGAACATGAGAACATGATGCAATTCATGCAGAAATAGAAGTATAATGATGTACATCTGAAGTTTATATAACGTTATAAACTAATGTTACTGCAATAAACAAGATTAAACAAATAATAATAATAAAAAATTAAAAAAAAAACTATTGAAATTGCCAAAGGATTAACTTGAAGTCCCAGTTTTTAGGGAGTCTAATCATTATATTTAGTAGGGGTATGAAGACAGGATTAAATGGTTGCTATGCAAAATTGCTGAAGAGCAGATCACAGAGACTTGAAACAGTAATGATTATATCTCTGAATATTCCCTAACCAGTTCTGGCCAACTTAGTGATGCCAGCTGAACCCAGTGACTGATGCCATTCACCAACCATTTCAAAACAGTCCTGTTTGTTATAGTTTGGCCCAGCGTTGCTGTTAAATGAAACCAAAAGTTAGAAAATCTGTGGGCTTTAGTGGGATTCAGATAACAGCTGAGGGATCTTGGATATTGGGTTCACCAAGATGAGAAGCAAATTCAGGAAGTGTTGGGAAGCCTGTTGACTAGTGAAGTAAAACTTTGTCCTGATATTAAACAAAAATACAGAAACATCCAAATTGCCACTTTCCCCCTAAAGAGTCTTATCGCAGCAGGTAAGTTACCATGGCCTGAGGATGTCTCCCTTCTGAGCAGAAGTCACCTGCCTCTACAAACAATGCTAAGTTAGAATTCAGTTAGTAATACAGAAATCATTCAAGTGGGGATTTTGATGACAATGATGATTATTATCAAACAAGGGGAATGTACTTCATTCTTCTGCAATCATGCTTACATTCTAAGAAAGAATGTCAAAAATTCCTAAAAAGACAAATTCTGCATCTTTCTTATACCTGATTATTAAATACTAAATCCACTGCCAATGAACTGTGATGGGCACCCTGGAAGTCCTTAAAAGAATACTCATAGCCAACACTTATTGAGAACTTCCGTGTGCCAGGCACTGATCTAAGTGCTTCACATGTATTAACTCACATATATTAACTAAGTGAATCTTCCAACGCCTCAGGAGAGGTGAGCATTGTCATCCCCACTTACAGTTGAGGACACCTTCATGAGGACATGAAGAAACAAGGCAGCCTGCCCTAGACAGTGAGTGGAAGAGCTAGATCTGAATGCTAGCATCCAGCTCAAGGTCCATGAACTCAATGACCACCCTCTACCGCTCAGAACAAGGCCTTGCTCTCAGTACAACACAGAAGGTGGTCACACTGCTTCCTTGGGCAAGGAAGAGGTCTGCAGTATTTGATTAAGGGTGGGAGGAAGATAGCTTACTGATTAAAAAGCACAAGCTTGGCAGCTGGACTGCCTGGGTTCCAATGCAAAGCTGTCTCATTAGCTTTAAGATCCTGGGCAAGTCACTTAACTTTTCTGTGCCTCAGTTTCCCTCTCTAAAATGGAGATGATAATAATACTACCTATCTCATAGGATTTTTATGAGGATTCAAGTGTTATTATTTAAATGGCACTTAGGACATTGCTTGGCACATAGGAAGCAACATGTGTTTGTTTAAAAACTTTTTTTGAGACCTTCCTTGCTGCTAAATACTGTCTGACACAATACACATACATAGATACATGTGGACTCCATAGCATAGGAACATGACTTCATGTGATGTATTATGTTCATCATATGACATCCTGGGCATTTAGGATGCACATTCTCAAACTGATGAACACTCTGGGGATGGTGTGAAAAGCTGCATTGTCTCTGCATCTACTGCAGCCTGTCTGTGATCTCCCTACTTCAGTCCATAGCATTACGATCACACCCATCACCCAGGTCAAAGCCTGCTGCCTGGACTCAGCTCCCATCTCTGTCCCCTGCACTGTTTTTCATCATGACCAGTGGATCCTGCTGTACACAGTCCTGTTGGATCAATCTCTTCTCTCCATTCCCATTGCCGCTGTCAGATCAGGCCCTTACTAGGGTATCTTCAAAATGCTAACACAGCCTCCTAACTGGTCTCCCTACTCTAACCTCTTTCTCACTCATCTAACAAACCTACCAGCACCAGATTAACCTTCCCACTATCCCTCTTGCACCATGTGACTCATGTGCTCAAAACACTACCATGCTTCTCCATTGCCCACAGGATGAATTCTGAACTCCTGAGCCCAGGCCCCCACGATCTCATCCCAGGACATCTATCTAGAGTCATTTCCCATTGTTTGCCAACAAGAACCTCTGGGCTCTGTCTTCTCACAGGATTCTGAAACCGAATGCTTATTCCTACCTCTCAGTTTTGGTTCATACTGCTTTATCAATCTATGTCTCCCTTTCATCAGCCCCTTGACCCCTTATTCATTCATCTACTCATTCATTCATTAATTCAACAAACATTTGTTGAGACTTAATATGTGCAGGGATGCTATAACGCATAAAATTTTACCCCTGCTCTCAATAACTCATCCATAGAAGTTCTACTATCTTAAGAAACCTATTTTCTCTTTAAGTTTTCCCAGACCATCTTTCTAGGCTGGTCTGGCCCACAGTGATCTTCTGATACTCACTTTTTCTATTGTCATATTTTGAATTACTTTACATTAGTTTTGTTTCCCTCAATAAGACTACAATATCCTTGAGAAAGGGAGCAGATTTTCCTATCATTACCTCTCCCTGCACTTAGTACCCCTCACCTACACATAGTTTGTACACCACACGAATGATATTGCACTGCTTTGGCCCTTTCGACTAAATTCATATTACCTGAAATAATCTAGGATTTACTTCACTGAAATTAATCCTTAGGATTAAGAGGTTGATGTTTTGAAAGTTCTAACATTTCCATCAAAGTTAATCCTCAGAGAACTGAACAATGTCATAAGAGTTCTTGGGTGGCAGCTGTGACTGTCATGTCATCTTACTCTGTATTCTCTCCTAATGGTGGATCAAGTCCAAATGGTCAAACCACTTGTGCAAGTAGATGCAGTCTTAGTCTTCCCTACTCAAAATTACTTGCACTTTTGACTCTGTCTCAAGTGATGAGCAACTGAATCATTCAGGACTCAATCTGTGAACAAGCAAACTGAACAAAGGAGACAGAACTCTAATTTTGTATGGGAGGATGGGAAGTAATCAATAAGAAAATGGTTTTAAGAGAACATCCATTAGGCTCCTGCCATTCAGGGAAAACAAATGTACACATCAGCCTAAGCAGAGAGAATTCCTAAAGGAAATATGTTGGCATATGTAGATGTGCAGGTATTATGTACAAGAGTGTGTGTGTGTGTAGTTCAAGTTCAAAGCAAATACATATGGTTCCATTATCACAAAGCACTGAAAATTGTTTGAATTCATATTCCACTGAGGCTGTATTATCTGTAACTTCACCAACTAAAAAGCTCTTTAAGAGGAATTTTTATATACAATTCAAATCTTCAGTCTAGTAACAGGCATTAATTTATGGTGATTGACAGCTCACATTCTCCAGGTGGCAGACCTTCATTCTGGAAATACTCTAAGTGAATGAGATGACTTCAGTTCACAGCCGTATCACACTTTACAAAATCCGGTAAGGCAACATCCATCTCCCCCCTTGCCCCCAGAGAAAGCCTCTGTCCTCTCACCCCCCACAAAACAAAAACCACCCTAAAATCAAAATAATAGGACTAGTAAATAACTGTTTTTACCAGAATGATTGACTTTAAAGTATCCCCTAGAATTTTTGCATAATTATTAAATTATTAATCATTTAAATAAGTCACTGGCATAAGATAAGTAATAAATCACTCACCTTCTTCAGTCATATACTTGATCAGTTCTTCCTTAGAAAGAAACCCACGTTTAGCTGGATCTAAGACCTAGGGGAAAAGAAAAGATAGATATTATATTTTTTGTTTGGTGAATAAATTCTACATGACGAATTTTTCATATAAATATATATATATAAAATCTGGAGCTTACAGACCTCAAAAGCTCGAAGAAGGGTATCTTCTGGAATTGGTCTGTATCTAATTACACAATAAAAGGAGTAAATGCCACAGTATAGCTAATTCTCTACATAATACATGATCACATAAAATGAAACAAAAACTGCTAACATATTAGGATAATAACACTTCCCTCACTGAAATCTTTTTGGATTTCTAGATATGAAAGTTGAAAGCACTCCATGCCCACAGGAAATACTTAGTTTAAAATCACTGGCATGTTTGATGTTATCTATTAGCTTTTTTCTTTGTTATGGAAATCAATTTATCTGGGAACAAAACTTGTACAATAAACTATGTTAAGCCAATGCTACCCTTCCTCTAGAAAAATAATTAGGGATAATTCTTATCATTGATAATTCAAAATAGAATAAGAACGTTGTTGATTTATGCTTTTTGTAGCTTATTTGCCCTTTCATTACACTTTGCTTATTAGGTTAATACTAAAGTGGTTGATATTTCTAAGCACATACCAACTGGCAGTTCAGAAGTGTAGTGAGAAGTTAGAAGGAAGCTTCTCTAGGATAAATGTACAAGGTGAGTATAATACATAAAGTGAAAAATCCAAGTGTTTGAAATTAATGTAATTCTAATCATTACTTTACCTTAACAATAGCATTGACTTTCTTACCTTCTTTCCAGCAGCACTTTAGTCATCACTGGAAGAAATTTTTCAAATCGAATGTATCCAGTGGGTTCTTCTTCCTCTACCTAAGCAGTAATAAAAAAATAACCACTTATTCATTCAACAAAAGTATTGAGCAACTACTTTTTCCAATCACTGTGCCAAGTGCTGGGGAGTTGGTGATGAGCATACGTGGGCAGGGTCCTTGGTCATAGCATTTATATTCTGTCGGGGAGATGTATACTAACCAAAAAACAGCAAAGCTGAGTGTCTAATGATGTCTATGAAAGCACAATGAAGGAGCAGAGCATGGGTCTATCACAGCAGAGACAAAAGGAGACTTTTCTAGGCCAGGAGATCAGGAAAGACATTCATGAGGAAATCACACTGGAGCTGATGTAGAAAGGATGATGAGAAAGTAATCAAAGACAGCAGGGGAGAGACTCCCAGGTAGAGGAAATTACAGGCACTAAGACTCTGTGTGATGCAGTGGAAGCCAGGAGGCTGAAGCACAGGGAGCAAGGAGAATGTTTCCAGATGAGGCTGGAGGGAGAGACAGGTACCAGAACTTGCAGGGCCTTATCATCCATGAAAGTGCCTTTGGTTGTTATTGTAACACCAATGGGAAATCACTGGAGGTCTCATAGACTTGTGTCTGAAAGATCACACTTGCTGTGGGTGAGGTGGCTTCTGCAGTGGTCTAAGCAGATAGACCATGGGTTAGAGTGGTGGCCATGGAAACAAGTGGATGGTTTCAAGAGATATTTAAGAAGTAAAATCAATAGGACCTGGTGGTGCATCTATTATGGGCAAAGATGAAAACAAAGAGAGAAGTCCAGGACAACTGCCAGGATTCTGACTTGCACAAATGGGATAGAGAGATGCTTCTCCCTGAGATAAGGACCACTGGATAAGGAATTAGGTTAAGGGACCAATCATTCTCTCAGGGACAAGTACATCCCAAATCATTGTATTATTTATTAAATAGCTAGATGGCTGATGGAACTGTGTTACACCACCACTAATTAAGAGAACACTACACCTGAGAAGGAGTATTTTGATACCTAGCACTATTAGATGAGAATGAGAAAGACTGCTGCCCATAGGTTCCACTTTGATGGTGTGGCTGAACAAAACACCATTGATCTTAACTTCATGTCAGGCTATTTACCAGGACCTGTAAATTTTCCACTCCCTTTCAAAAATCCTATTAAAAGGCTTATAGATCCCAATTAAACAGAGGAGCTTTTAACAGATTTATTCTTTGAGCAAAAATAACAAACCTATAGGTTGCAGCTAAGTGGAACATATTGCTACCCAAATGACAACAATTTTTAATGTTAATACGAGATTCTCACCTAGTATGAGTGGAGCCCTTGGACTCCACTATCAGCAGAAAATGTCTTCCATCTAATGACAGAATGATGTGTTTCAGAATTTCTGAGCCCATCAATACATGAACAATTGTCTTCAGCTGCCTTTAGGCCCAAGGCAAGCATATTGCAAATTAATGTTCATATGGCTTTGATGTACTTGAGTAGCACTCTGTAAATCTCGACCCCAGGAGCCTCTTAAAAATAAAATGTCAATCTCAGGAGACTACCTTTGGAGGGATAATTTTTATTTATTTATTTATTTTTGGTGAGGAAGATTAGCCCTGAGCTAACATCTGTGCCTATCTTCCTCTATTTTATGTGTGGGATGCTGCCACAGCATGGCTTGATGAGTGGTGTGTAGGATTTGAACCTGCAAACCCCAGGCCACTGAAGCAGAACATGTGAACTTAACCACACTACCAGGCCAGCTCCTGGAGGGATAATTTTTAAATTCAAGTGTTGAGTTGCTATTCTGATTCCTCCAGAAATTTGCTCCAGAAGCTAGAGCAAAGGGTTGCTCCTCTTTCCCCCCATTCCCAACAAACCTCTGTAGAGCAAACAGTCTCAACCTTGAAAGATCAAAACCCCTCTTTATTTTATGAGCACCTTCATCAATCTACAAACTTTTTAGTTTTTCCACAGGAAGTTCAACTCTACAGCACTCTTGCCATCACATGAGAATTCACAAACACACAATATGTGCCCCATGATGCTCCCCTGGCTCCTGCACAACTTCCACAAGCCCTCAGTGCTCTGAACACCAGGGTGAAAACTGCAGATCGTTCTGGCCTGATAGATCTGTATAGAGCCAAACTTGCGCAAAAATAGTAAGTTAAAGCAGATCTCCAACTAATGAGGATAGCAGAAGAAGCATAAATTTTCTTAGATTATTTTTTAAAGAGGGATAATGAATAAACAGAGGCCTTGGTTAAAAAGTAAGAGGAAAAATAAGGAAGTACATCTTCAACTTGGGCAGATTGTGAAAATCTTTCTATGACCCAACACTGTCCTCTAGAGGATACATCTAATCTGTTCTTTGGTACAAAAAGATGTCTAAGCAGTGGCAATAAAAACAGAATTATATGATAATTCTAAATACATTAATGAACTGGTTTATATATAGCAGATACTATTTTATATTATGAAAGGTTTTTACTATTTAAATAAACTTTTTATTTTAGAATAGTCTGAGATTTACAGAAAAGTTGCAGACAGTACAGAGTTCCCATATATCGCCACCCAGTTTCTCCTGTTGTTAACCCGTACTTGACAACGGTACAAATAGAATGGGTTCATTGTGACAACTAATGAGCCAATATCGATACCTTATTGTTCACAAAACTCTGTGCCTTTTTTGGATTCTATTAGCAAGAGAAACAAGAAATAGACGGTAGAATTCTAGTTCTGCAAGTCTGGGAACAGGAGTGGGGAGAGGGGAGGATAAGAGGTGGTTCTACTATTTCTGGTGCAGAACAAGCTAGTTACCTTTATGAGACCATAAGTAAGACAGGACAAAACACTACTTTTTAGAAATAGTATGCAATGATGGCTCAATGATTATTTAAACCTATGTATTAAAATGCCTTTAATAGAAATCAAACACTGAACCATACTCTATAGTATGTATATAATGTGTATATATACAGATATACAGATCTCTATCTCTATCTCTCTATCTATCCATCTCTCTATCTCTTTATCTATCTATCGAGAGAGACAAAGTGTTATGGGTTGAGTTGTGTTCTCCCAAAATCCATATGTTATAGTCTTAACCCCTGTACCTCAGAATGTAACTTATTTGGAGAAAGGGTATTTACAAAGGTAAAATGAGGTCATTAGGGTGGGTCCTAATCCAATGACTGGTGTCCTTATAAAAGGGGAAATTTTAGACACAGAGACATGCACACAGGGAGAACGCCATGTGAACATGAAGACAGCCATTTACAAACCAAGAAGAAAGGCTTGGAACAGAATCTTCCCTCACAGCCACCAGAAGGCACCAGCACTGCCAACACCTTGATTTTGTATTTATAACCTCCAGAACTGTGAGATGATAAACTTCTGTTGTTTACGCCACTGTTTGTGGTACTTTGTTACAGCAGCCCTAGCAAACTTACCCATATATATGGCACATTTGAATACAAAGACTCTGAAGCACTACCATCAAGCATAATTCCCCACACTTCTCGTGTGAAGATTAGCAGACCAGATAGTCACAATTCAGAACTGATTTTACAGAGTTGATACAGAGGACATGGTGCAGCTCAGACCTACTTTCTTCAGGAGAAAACTCAAGTCACCAACTTAGAATAAGATAAATTCAAGAAAGTTTCTACAAATTATAGCAGACATGTTTGAAAAGGCTAGGAATTCATTGTTGTTTCTTCACATACACTGAAGTCATACTGGGAAAATCCACTTCACCTCTGTATTGATCAAGTTCCTTAAAAAAATAGATGTTGTCTTTCTCATAGAAAAATACAATATACTCATCATGTTAGACCAAGAACAGTTTAAAATATTCTGTTTAAAATTCACCCCCTAGAGTCCTCATTTGTCATACAGGGAGAACAGTAATATCTTCCTTACACATTTGTTGTGAAGATTACATGATATGACATGAAGGTGCTTTGTGAACTTTGAGAGTCTATCATGACTCTTATTATCTCTATCAATAGGATACATACTTCTGTTTCTATATTATGAAATGACACTTCCTAAAAGAATCACTCTCTGGTGCTGAAATTTCAGACACATCCTCCGTGACCCACCATATGGACCTAAATGTTAATACAGAAGTTTGGTCCTGGCTCCTCTCTGTAAAATGCCATGTTGAATGTGGTGAGACTGTATTAAATTACTAGGCATATCAAGTTCCTTGTCCTGCACCCCTGGACCCTGTTTAGAGGACAGGCGATGTGGATTAGCAGTGATGACTCTACCTCTGCTGTCTCCCTACATGCCTCTCTGGGATGACAGGAAAGGGAGAGTGACAGACAGCCACCAAATGCATCCCTCTTCCTCAAAAGGCAAAAAAAAAAAAAAAACAAAACCCATAACAAACCTGTCTTGTTCCTGCAAACATGAATGATGCAAAGTTAGTTACCATCTAGTTTGTTTCATTTAGGAGGAGGGCTGATGTGCTGAAAAGGAGGTCACAATTAGAAAATAACCTAGGCAGCATTTATGAATGCAAAAGGAATAAAACCTCTCTGCAGGAAGGTCTCTCAGTTAGCCTTCAAGGACGATTTACAGTGAATTCACCTTAACAGTGTGCCAGCAGATGTTCGCCTGGAAGACCAGGGACCTGAGATGTCTGGTTCCTCCTCCTCCCAAGAATTATGGTGGAGCAGGTGACCTCTAGAAAATATACTGCTCTCACTACCACACAAAGGGACCCCACCTCTGTGAAGCAACCATGTGCCTTCCGACATTCCATAGTCTGCATCCTCTTCCCCAAAATGAAGTCTTAAGAAATAAGTAAACACTGTGGCATTTTAAAAATGTCAACATTTATCTAAGTCTCAAAGCATGAGGCAAATACTGTTTCTCAGTCTACTTTGGTTACAGTCAATTTTCTTAATCTATTCTGCATCTGTGGAAATTCGGGTATGTAGAGGTGAAGTGCCTATCTTGGTCCCCAGAGTCAGTGTGGTGTTTTGATGGGATCACAGCCCAGAGTCCTTTACTCCCATTCCCACAGGGAAATT